CTGCGGCAGCTCACTCGTTTGCGCTTCTTCCCAGTTCTTGAAAATGCCGTTTATTCTTACTATTCAACATCCAAATATTACTGTTTCCGAACTCAAATTTTCATTGTTTCCCATTATTTTCCATTCGTTTTCCTTGTCAGCAACGAATATGTTGAAATTTTGCCCGTGTTTGTAAACGGACAAAATTATACATATATACATATACAGATATATGAATGGAACTGGTATATATATATACCATATACATGTATATGGTATATATATATATATATATATATATGCCAGTTCCATTCGTCCATTACTAGCAGTTTCCAAATCGTAGGCTAGTTTTTGTGAAGAAAAATGTTGCCTTGGTGGAAAAACCGCGCCCAGCCTGACGTGCTGGCCATAATTAAAACACTAGTAAATGATAAGGTAGTGTTTACTGGAGAGGCAGTTCATCGGTGGCTGGTGCATAGTCATATGTTGCGAAAAATCGGACGAGAGTGACCGATCGAACAAATTCAAATCACAGATATCAGGACCGATAACAGGGACGTCAGATGCACTGATGGTTGTACCGCGATGAAACACGGTGGCTTGTCAATTTATCATTTTGTTTGAATTGTAAACCATCCCACATTAAGCATCTAAGGGTTGTGTGGACTTCTTGACTGTTGTCTTTACAGCATCCAGAGCCAACAACAGATATGGAACTCCAAGAGGGGGACGGTAAAGATGAACACGGAAGAAGCAGAGATGCAACTTGAAACGTTCCTACTAGGGCTGAATGGTTTTGGTCTGTACTAACTGCTAAATGCTTTCGATTTTTTGGATGATCCATATACCTGCCAAATGAGAAAAGTCACTTAGAAGTATGGACGCGCAAGAGCGGAATATCGGTGCGCTAGGATTTTTGACATATTTCTCCCACCCTTTTTTAGCCCGCGTCGGACGTCGACCATCTCTTTTCAATGCTGCTATACGCAGTGGCACCGCAGCAATTCCTTTTTGCTCCATATTTTTCCTTCACAGGACTGTTATTGCATTTTTGCGAAAACTTTAATATATATGAGCTTCTTTAGCTAGCATTCTGAACTGTTTGTGAAAAAGACAATTCTTTTTCACATGAACTTACCGACTGCCCAGGTACCTAGCCCTGAGTATTCCGAGCATGCTTCTAGTAATCCAAATGACTGACAGCACTAAAACCAATTTACGATAAAAATTGGCAATTCCGCTGAGAAAATAAAAGCATTGTTCGGAAAACGGGGGCAAAATGCTGAATCATCACCCATCTTCTGGATTTTTGCCCATAAGCTGTTTTTTGTTCGATTCGCGGAAACGAACTCATGGAATGGCAGAAGCATTGTGCGATCAATTTTAGCTGTTTCAGTCGAACTCAACGGAGAAAGTTGTCGTTGGGCTTAAAAAGTTTTAAAACTGTAAGAGTGTTAGCATAACATATACGCCGAAACTCGTGTTTTCCATTAAAAAATATGGTTGTTGACAATTAAAATTTGTATTTTATTGAGTTAAATTTGTGCTGGCAGACATACATACACATGCATACACACAGAGACAAACAAACATTCGTTGCGAAGGTAAGCGTACCGATGATACATTCGTTTCGATTTTAACGCCGGGTAAAACAAGTTTCTGGAGACGCAAAGTTTATGCTTTGATTTTCTGTTGTTGAGTCATCTTTTAGCACTTTATTGACTCGTTTGCGCGCATGAGTTTTCCTTAGCAGCAGTTCTCGAAGCCTCTTTTTAGATCCTGTTTGGAGGGTATCCAGTATTAATATGAGTCAAAAGCACTGGTCAACCCCTTTAGTGCAACGCATTCATGCGGTATTTCTTAATGGTTTCTCGATCACAGCTTTTAAAAAGGGATGACTTTATTTCGAACAACTTCCTGAAACGAGGACCAAGTTCATCAAGAATGTTCAGACAGTCGGTGTGGGTGTTCGATGTTAATATCGCTGCTGGGGCAAATTTTTGGGCGCTGCTGTTCTAGGCATTCTGCTCCTGAACTACATGCCTCCAGCTAGTAACCGATGTCCTTTTATGCTATGCGTCACGCGAGTAACACTCATTGTCACATTAAGCATGTCGGACGCAATGAATTTTACTTTCTCGCTCGATCGCAATGACATCCTACCCACCGTTAGCATAAGTGAAACTCTTACCACTTATACGGAGAGAGCCGAAATTTTTCATGCTCAGGGTTAGTCTCGGAAGCGCATTCATTCACTCAGTCAGTCCTAACGATGAACAGTTTTAAATGCTTCGCAAATGTTTGATGAATCCGGCGTAACTGCTCCTCACAAGTGGGTGCGCCTGGTAAAATCACGATAAATTCAGGATATTGAGCCTCAATTCCCATTCACATGCGCAGATCAATAAAACGCTTCTGTCCTGCTGTATATCGACGATTTTTTCAATTTGATACGATTCAGTGACAGATTTTCGGTGCCGGTACTGGGCACCGCCCCTGCAGTGAGTGAGTGATACGAACTGATCCGACGGGAGGGGAGCAGCTCCTTGCGCTGCACCTACACCTCTGGCGGTGCGCAAATTCATATCAATTACAGGAAGAATTTGTTGCTCAAACGACATTTTTCTTTCTCTCTTCCCTTCTCTTTGCGTTCTTCTGTGGGACGAACATGCCAGCGTACTAGTCAAGTATTTTTTTAACTATAAAATTTTGTTGTAGAAACTATTTATTTGGATAAGAAAAGGCAATTACTTGCCAAATAGTGATTTTTGAGTTTTTGCCAGTACCTCAATAGCGGGCATGTGACGCAGTGATAAGTATCACTGAGCTCATGTTGAAAGTTGAAGATTCTACGCCGGACGTGAGACAACCAACCCCTCTACGGTTCGTTCATTCGCTATGATGGTAAATTGGCATTTCAGTACGCCAAGGAGTCAGAGCCCCTATGTAGCTTGATAAATAACCCTCCGAAGGAGGTGCTATCAGCAACCTTCTCAGCCGGTGCTGATGGCACTTGCTTGCCATCACAAGTGATAGCTGTTTTTGCAAGTACTATTACCCATACCACATAACGGTATTTCTCTGTCCTACAGAATATTGTAAATTCTGAGAGTATGGGTTCTGTTTGATGCTTCGCTTTTTTGTATCTGTTATTTTCGGATAATGTGGTTTTGCTTGTTCAACTTGTTCACATAAATCTAGCAGTTTTATTTTCGTTTAAAAAAAAGCAACTATATGATTTTTTTTCACGAAAAGTATTGGACTGATCAACAGGGCTTTTAAAGATTTTCCTCCTTGTCAACAGTTTTCAGTGGACTTGAAATTTGAAAATTTTATCAAAACATCTTTTAACTCCAGAAATTTATATAAAATTAGTTACAAATACCCTTCAGTCTCAAAAACTCGTTTTTTTCAAAGCTATTGAAAAACAAGGGGGATTTTTAATGAATTTTCAAGGTATTTGAGCTCTGCTTCGTTACTTACGCTTTTTTAACTAGATTTTCAAATAGAAAACTATTATTCAGTATAAGACCGGGTAAGTAAAGTAAATAGTCCAGTAAAGTAAGGCCGCAGCCGCATCCGAAAGCAGTTCCAGTCTTTGTTGTGAATCGTTCCGTACCACCCAAGAGCACGACTCACTGTAATTTCCTGTTTTGTCGCTGCTTCGCTCTGGGACAAGTGTTTTTGTTCATTCTTTCAACGTCCTTACTTATTCGTCTAAATTCCGCTTAATTTATTTTCTTACATGAATTTCTGGATCGAAACTGGTTCATCATCCATATCTGCTTAGCCCACTGCGCGCAACCTCATTTCTGCTTCAGTCGGATTTGTTTTCGATCTTTTCCCATTCAAAATTCCTTTATTCAAAAGGCCACTTGGAAGGCTGTTTTTTGATATTTTGCAGTCAGTTCTTTCTTTCGCTTGAATGCCTTGACAAACTTGATTGCTTAAAAAGCATTTCTCAGATCGGTCCTTTCATCGTTTCTTTCAAGCAAAATGCTGGCAGGGGCAGGCAGCTTAGCTAAATTTTAACAAGCGAATGCAACACAAAGCAGATAATGACTAATCCAAGAAAAGAACGAAACACCAAATGAGGCAAGAAGCATTTGTTCATCCCCATTTTTCAAGAGTACTTTTTGTTGAAGCGGTCTTTGAAAAAAGCATGAGTTTTCTGGTCTCGATTTGACATCCAAGGTCAGAACTGGGACAGTGCTTTCTTCCCCATTTTCGCCTTTTCCCCTCCTCCCCAACCCCCTTCCCACCCTCAATTAAAAGTTTTGGATAGCTGTATAGAAAAGTGTGATCAGTAATGTTTCAATTCGTCAAGTCTTCTGTTTTCGGAGCTTCGATTTTAATCGCTCTAAAAACAACTGTAACGCACTTCATTGTCAGTTTCTAGGGAAAAGTGAGACAGTTTTGTACACCGCTTAGATACATCAATATTTTTTGTTAAAGACAAGAGGAACTAGGATTGCCTGAGGGACTGCTGACCTCACTCGAGGGTTCGTAAGATGCACCCACTTTGTCTAGTTCCCTTAACAGTTTTTTGAGTGTGATTTTAGGCGCTTGATTATTTGTTTAAAGATCCATTTGTGACTTATTTATACTTGAGTGACATTTTCTTTTCTTACGCATCCGTTACGCCAAAAATCCGACATTAATATTAGGCGTTTTTTTTTATTTGAATCCAGACATAGTTCTGAAGTTCATTGTGTATGAAAACCTCTGGAACGAATCCATCCAAAAATTTTGAAAAGGCAGTAGTTTATCTATGTTTGCATTTCTTATTAACAGATACGAAATCACTGGCAGCAGCTTGCACTATAAACGCATTCATCCTGATGAACTTGCCTCGGTGTCTAAAACTGGTTTTCTAACTTGGCTGGAGATTATTTTTCCTAGGTGCGAGATTGTAACTTGCACTCGATCTGGAAAGAAACACTGATGGCATAAGTGTATTGACAGATATTTGCAGAATCCTAAGAGCGTTTTCTTGGGACGAAAAGCAACTCTATGTGGCCATGACATCCTCTGCAAACGTGTTCGGCGAGAAGGCTTCGGTTCTTGCTTCCGTTATTCTGACACTGATTGGTCTAGGATTAAGCATTGCTGCTATACTATTACCTTCATGGCAGGTATCAGTTGTGAATTTGACATTCCTTACAGAAGGAAGAAAACGAACTGTTCATTTCTGGACAAGCACACGTTTCAGTGAAGTTCCTTACAGTTAGCGGTTGACAAAAAACTGAGCATATTTGGTGTCAGACTGAAGGACTTTTTTTGGTTGCTCTCATCGTTATGCAATTCAGGTTGTTAATTTACGAGAATACAACTCAATCCACGAGCACGGCCTATGGCTGGATTGTACAAGGCACAGCAGGGATAGCAACGCCAACGTACTTTTGAGAAGGTTTCTCGTCTCTCATTCATTATTTTTAATTTTTTTGTCAAATCTTATTACGATTAGTGGTTTCTATCAAATGACACTTCTCAGTGGAATTTTGTCAGTAAAAGTGTTTTGGTCAGCAGTCTTTGAGTTCCCACGTTGAAGACGTAGGATGGAATCAGATGGTATACTACGAATTACGGAGGAGCACGAAAACGAGCGCCCGAATTTTGATTCGAAAACATCTTCAGTTTTTATGCGTTTGGTGCTGTATAGCGCTATAGAACTGCTACAGTAAGCAAAAATGCATATTGTGTGTGTTTCTGTGTGTGCATGAAGTGAACTAATTCCAAATTTTTGAATTTGAGGCAAATCAAGATTATAAGTTTTGAAACGTGGAGCATTCCGAACCACTAGCCGTCCAAAAGAAGCTGGTTTTGGTACTGGTTACATTTGTAACGGCACATATAACAGCCTGCATTTCACAGTCCCTGGTTTTTTCTGCTCAGGGACTTAATTATCTGAGCAGGAAATTCACAAATGCATGCGAACGCGCCGTAGTAGATTTTCTGATTTTTGTATAAATGAATAAAATTACGAATGAAAGTAGATAATTATGGCACTGCGCTTTTGCAGATATGCGACAATTACCGAACCATTACACTGCGTTTACAAATTCGACTACGACAAATATTCGGGTACCTTTGATCTGGAAGACGACAACAGCCCTGTTGGGGAAGTTAACAGACACAAATTCTATGGTACATTTTTGTCTTTCAGTCAACTTGAGAAAGCTGATACTTAAGGACCAAAAACTAAAAAGCGGGTTTATTTCTTTGCTTTTTTAAAAACCAAACTGTTTGCATTTGTAATTATTTTTTAGCTAATATTTCAAATGATTCGATAGTGGAGGAATTGTTTGATAAGAGCAGCGCAGCTTATCTATAATGTGCCATGGGCGTCATAAGAAATATTAAAATTTATAAAAGGATAAGCTCATTGCAGGTTGGCACACAGCAACCCTTATTCTGCTGGCTCTGGCACTTCTCACATCGTTCTTGGCTATATGTCTTGGCCTCTGTGCATGTTGCTACAATTCTCTGGCGTTAATTTTTACTGTTGTTACATTACTAACAAGTATGTCTTGCCCATTTATGAAAATTTTACTGTTTGTTCGTTGTATTCCTGAAAAGCACCAAACGGGATTTGCAAGAAGTGTGATTTCAGCATTTTTATCAGTCATAGCCGAGGGACTATTCTTCTTTTATTCGCATCGTGCTGATAATCGTTTTATAAAAGGCATCGTCGGCACATATGAGGTTTTCTCCATTTCTTTCAATTTTTGACTTTAATGGCATATAATGCTGACCGATACCATAATTCAAATCCCATCCTTATGATCTTGTTTTACTTGTTCAAAGAAGCGCCTTTGGCAGAACTGATAATTTATTCAGTTTCTTTCTCAAAAATATTGAAATCTTTCATCATCTTGCATGATGAGGAGTACCAGGACTAGGCTATGAATTACAACAGACCTGAGCATCCATGAAAAGTATAAATGTACATACAGTGCGAGCTGATTAAATTTCTTTTTCAGCAACGTGTTGGACTGGCATTCTTCCTGCAGATGGTGGCATGTGCATGCCATTTTAGTGCATTTTTGGTATCACTGCTATTTTCATATTTTACACTGGCTGGTAAAAGTAGTGCCAGTGATCGGTATAGCTTTAGTCGAGGATCAAAGCTGAACGTTGCTAGTACAGGAAGGTTTGCATTTATCAGTATTTCTCAAAACGCTTTTCAAACACGATGGCATGTGATTTTCTCAGATAGCACACGTTTTCACGTTTTGTTCGGATATCTTATCCTCGCATTATCTTGCTGCTGATGCAGTTGGCTACTTCATCATTCTTGGTTTTTAATATCTCTTTTTTATGTTACTCCATATAGGCGTTCAAGCTATTCCTTCCATCGCACTGGTCATCTTTCTTGTGTTCTTTCAACGTTACGAAGTCACAACAATTCGCTTTGTTCAGTTGGTTCTCTCATTCTAGCCACAGCTACTCTTTCTGGCGTACACTGCCTTGATAATATCATTCGCGGCATACCGAAACCGCAGTAATTCACTGACTTTTGTGCCCAGTAGGCGTACTATTTCATGTGTCATTCCCATATAACAAAGTTCGTAAGACAGTGGAATTGGAAGGGTAACGCAAAAAAAGAAACTAATGACAGTACGCGTCACTCACGAATTTTATTCCTTTTCTATTTTTTATTCTAATATAAATGATTCATCGGCCTGCTGACGGTTTTACTCCAACTGAACGAGGAAATATTTAGGTCGTTGGAATTTGAACCACAGATTATCTACCAGCAAAATGTGGCACCAGGAGGAAACCGACCGCCGTATTATACAAAGCATCAAGAGCAGTACGACAAAAACATCGCTGAAAGTATGCCAGAACTGGGTTCACGACAGCTCTCTGCAGAAATCATTGGCCAGAGGATAAGGCGGAAAAGCGAAACTTGTGTCTAATTTTCGTGCCTCATCAAATGCATTTTTTATTCGCAACAACTTGCACATCCTTATCAGGATAATTGCCCGGATGTACAAAATCAGAAGGCAGGCTTTTTGCCGGTCTTGGATTTGCGACGCATTACAAATTAAATACGATCCGTTGCAGGAAGACCTATGAATGCTAAACAGTGCTTCCTCCCACTCGTCGCAGTGGGCCTTGTACTCTTGTTTCTCTTTATTGCTCTATTGTTTCAGATGCCTTCAGTATTTGTTATTTGTGCTGTTAAAAATCAGAACACCTGTATTTTTGCGCTAACTTATAAATTTCGCATGAATTTTAAAAATTTGGCAATTTTAAACTTTAATTTTTAATTGAACTTTCCAAACACTATACAAAGAAAGAGTGCTGTTTTCAAAGAAGTAGCATTAGTTCTGTGAAAACATGAATATATGTTAATTTTTTATCATGACTGTTATGAATAGAGCCCTTTTGTGCATAATACGTTTGATCTTTTCATAACCAACACGAGCCCATATCTTTCACTTTCGCAAAATACAATACATCCTGTACGGCTTTGTATACAGAACTTTTCCACCAAAATAATTTGAAAATTTTCACTTTGTAATCTGCACTATCTTGATGATCTGGAAAGCGCTGCCGCATTTATTTGTTGTTCTGGTCTATCAAGTTAATCTCAGCTATGCTTGCCTTCCAGCTAATGATAATCAATGAAGTTTTTGAGCAGTTTTTCGAAGGCGAATAACGGACTATTCTTTATAAGCTAGGATTTGTACTCAGTCAAAGTTTTACCTCTTTATCAATGTGTCTCTATGGCTTTATATGCTTCTCATCGATCTTTGCGCTTTTTTTATCACTGGCTGATCTGTACTTATTAAGCAAATTGAGAAGTCGTGAGGAACAGCTCGGATGGCTGATACGTCCGCAACATCGCTCGAAAAAAAAAAAAAAACAAAATGGTGCGGATACGAATAAGTTCGGCCTGGAAGTCTAAGCATCGAAGACGGAAGCCGTAGAATTGATTTGAAGTCCCGCTTCAAAAAATTTTGGTTCCACCACTCATTTCTTTGCGACCAGTTCTGTTTCTGCTGTGTCCACTGCTTAAACACACTGCGCTTTTAGTCTGTTCACATCTTAGCCGTATTCAACATGCTAGAAAGTGTCGCTGAAATAACAAATGCATGTATGTGTGTTTGTCTCTTTCTGAATGTGTGTGTGCAGCGCTACCTGATTTTTGTTGTTGCAATGCTCATAACAATTGTATTATTAAAAATTGTACTTGTTACAGTGCCCATTTGCCTTACTAATCCATTTCCAGTATTCGTTATTAATTTTTACGCTTGTGAGGAACGACCTACACTTCACGCGAATGTGGTGGATTTTGAAATGCCGTGCGTTATGGTGCCTGTACTTTTCTGGATTTTCAATAAAAATGAACAGCGAACGTGGTAGAGTAAAAATATTCAAGAGGCACTCGCCTTATTATCACTGTTTCTGATATCGAGCTCAGCAAATTTCTGTGTCCAGGAAAACTTTTGAGTGTTTGATTTTAGGTTCATCCAATGATTTTGACTTCTTGTTTATGTGGAACTTTTTTGCTGCAAGGTTATCTCAACCGTATGATCTAACCGGCGATCGAAAAAGTGAGGATACAGAAAGGGAAAAAGCGTGAACTGGTTTGAGCATGTGTGTCTGGGTGAATCGTCTTTAGAGGGAGATCGTGAGTTGGAGAGAGGTAGAGTTGAGGAAAAAACGGGTTTGTTTTGTAGTGCCGAGCTTCGTTGCAAAATTGTGTGTCCACGATAAGTACGTTACTTTTGGCGGTAGGTTCCAGATTCGAGGCGCCAATGCTATGCAGAAATGATCGTCTTGCAAAACTGCCTCTTTTTCTGTTCGGAACTCTTGTCTTAGTTTCTTTTTTAAACATTCCTTTATTCAGTCTCTCACCATTATGCACATATTACTGCTTAACAGGCAGAATTTGCTTTTCTTTTTTATTGCAGAATTACGTAACCTTATGTTTGGAAAGAAAAGGAGTGGACTGGCGCCCTTAGCCGCTAGAAACTCTACAGCAGATCTTTGAGAGGGAAGATGTTGTTCTTTGAAAAATTTTAGTTAATTTTATTTGCTAGTATTTCTAAAATGTGAGTTTAATCGGGATCAGTGATCAGAGTTCTGTTAGAAAGATAGTTTTTTTCTCTGCGCCTATCAAATCGATTCGCAGGACACTACCTCAGTGTCAACAGAACGTTTTTGTATCCAGTTGTGCTGGCTTCTATTTCATATCGATCATTTTTGACGGCGTCTCAAAATTTGGGAGAATTTTCAAAATTTTTAAATGTATAATTTACAGATAAGAATTATTTCTCATTTTTTGAATTAATGGGTTTGAAAATTGCAATTGGTGAGAAAGAAGAAAAGTGGATTATATGATATGCGCCCGAATGACCTTCGCAACAACCAGTTTCAAACAAATTTCAAAGCACGAAATGGGTGGACAACACCAGCGGTCGCTATTTTCAGGGACAAACACTCCAGTCGACAGGCAATCAAATCTTTTTTCTAAACCCCGTCATCTTTTTGTCCTGCGTTTCAAATGTGACCTAAATGTATGCATACGACTGACAGACAGGCCGACATACGCTCACATATAATCACACATAAGCATAATTATAATAAACCAGAATATCCGCTACGTAAGAAAAACTCGCTTTCGATCCCTCTCTTCTTAATTTCGACATTTCTCTCTCGGCTTTTCAATTTTTTTGCAAAGTAAAACAGGATTAGCAACGCTATTACGCTTTTTAAGTCTTCTGCAATGATTGTGTGGCTAAAGCCGCCTCGGTGTTTGGCATGGGTATGCGTAGTATATCAACGATGTTGCTGGTATATTTCCAAACCCTGAGCGCAGTTATGCCTAGTCTTCGATCCTCAGCTGCATAGTACCATTTACTATCCACCGGCTCGTCAGTGTATTTGTGCCACCTTTTCATGGGCTGCCCAAATGATCGTTTAGCTTCTCACGAGAACCGCTGATTGATATGCAATGATAAATTGCGTGTTGGCAGGGCCAAGCACGTCCTTCCATCGTAATTTACTTTGCCGTGTGGTCGGAACGACCAGAAGAAATTCTGCTCACGCCATAATGAGTCGAAAGGTCTAGTATTACTTCGAGACGTCTAGCTGCTGAAGAGCTTTTTCCTCGCTTCTCTTTGGTGTTATAATACAGCATTTTACCAATATAATTTCAAATTTCGAATTACAGGTGTGTTTCACGTCCGGCCATCTGTTTAAATTTTGTAGTTTCCGTTTGCTCTGTCCAGCACACACTACTGAATTTGTCAGTGACCAGACCAGGTACGCATACGGACATATGTAGGCTGGTAGGTGTGTGTGTGTGTGTGTGTGTGTGTGTATGTGTCATCAGTGCGCAACATTGTCCAGCAATCGATTCGCTGTCCAGGATTAACGAGCGTAGTAGCAGTTCATGTGCATATCGCTGACACCCATCAACTTGCATGTTTCTTAAATGGAATGCATCAGCAATACTTTTAAATTTTTTTAAATTACTCTTTTCAACCCAAACATTTTGCTAATTTAAACCACAGACTGCAACGCACCAGGCTTGCCGATGCAGTTATGCGTTTTTGCATGATTCCATTCCGTAGAGAGATCACAGCATTGCAATTTAATCATTTCGTGCACCTGTACGCAAGATCCGTGCGTAGGCAAAAGTTCGTCTTACGCTTGGTGGTCCACACATGAACAGTAAACATCCTCGAAAAAATATTGCTTCCTCCTTACTCTGGTTACCAATCTATTTGGGTGCCAACAGTGTCCAGAATTAGACACTTGAGCGCACACGTGTCCGTCTCACGGGCGCAAGATACCTTCGTAAAGTTACAGTCCCCTAGCAAGAGTAAATGTTTTTGATACGTGGTTGTGAGGTATTACGGGGTCGTTGTGACTAGGCAAAATGAAG